TCATCATCATCATCATCATCATCATCGTCATCGTCATCGTTATCTCGTTCATCATCATCCATATCCTCATCGGCATCATCATCTTCATTACCAGCGGCACCAGCATCAGCAGCAGCATCATCATCCACAGCCTCATCATCGTCCGCAGCAGCATCATCAGCATCATCAGAATCATCATCATCACCATCATTGTCGATGGCATAATATTCGTCCTCGCCATCATCGTCGTCACCAGCACCATCATCGACATCGACATCCTCGGCAGCAGCATCATCATCGTCATCAATATCACCTCATCGTCACCATAATCGCCGTCACCCCCTTCATCATCATCATCATCATCATCATCAGCATCATCATCATCATCATCAGTTTCAGCATCAGCATCATCATCGTCATCATCATCGTCTTTCGTCGTCATCATCATCCTCAGCATCATCATCGTGGCCATTATGATCATCATCATCACCATCATCATCATCATAATCATCACCACCACCGCCATCATCATCATCATCATCATCATCATCATCATCATCACCAGCACCACCATCGTCATCTTCATCACAAGCACCATCATCACCCACATCGTCGTCAACGTCGTTACCATATGCAGGTTCCTCCTCTTTCTGATCACCCCCACACACACACACACATTTGCGTCGGCGGCTAGGCAGAGTGACTGCGCTGGCGATGAAGCGTTGAGATACGAATTAACGCGAATTGTGCCACCATGCAGAGAGGGAAGGGGGGAGGCGCCGGGAAGAATCACACACACACACAAACAGACACACGCGACCACGACCACCATCACCACCCCACCCCACCCAACCCCACCCACCCCACCCCACCCCACCCCCACGCGCGCGCTCCATCGCGAGCGTGGGAAAGAGAAGGAAGAGCAGGAGGAGGAGGAGGAGGAAGAGGAGGAGGAAGAGGAGGAAGAAGAGGAGAAGCAGGAGGAGGACGACGACAACGTTGGCGCGACGACCATCGTCCGATCATGGCCTGGCTCACGTCGGAAAAGGACGACGGCGACGACGACGACGACGACGACGACGACCACGACGACGACGACGACGACGACGACGACGAGGATTAGGGGGGCGGGAAGAGGAGCAGCAGGAGGGGGGAGGAGGCTAAGGTCAAGCGCGTTGGAGGCGAGTCCGGACGGCGCCCCCTGTAGAGGAAGCCGCGAGACCATCGGGCGCTTCTGCGAAAATTATGGATGCGGGGCCTCGCCCTCGCAGAGGCCTGGCCGGGGCGCCCCCTCCGGGGCACCGTCGAATCTAACTCTTCGCTCGCCGAGGTTATCCCTGCAGCTCTTCCCTGCGCGGTCCCTGGCGACGTGTAGATGCACCTGAGGGCTGCTGTGTCGGTGTGTCGTGCCACTAGAAATGCTGCCCCACATGCCTTGGAGATCCATCTGCCTTACCTCCAAACTGTACTCCCCGATGGTCCAGTGGTGACTCTGGTAAGTCGTCTCTGTTGGTCCTGGTCCTGCCAGTTTGTGGGTCCCTGTGAATACTCATGCGTCCCATCCTCGCAATTCCTGACTCTGATCTCCTCTAGCCTCTCGTTCGAACTGGCGGCCAGAGGGTTGCAACATGCAAACGATAGAATCGCTGCGAAAAGAAAATGAAATAGTGCGCTGCCTAACGCAATCTTTTGGTGTCCCCTGCTCACTCCCTGGCCTGAGCAAGCAGTAAGGCAGGAGTCTGGTGAAGGTATGTTCGGTACACTTCCGTCATGGTCGGTTCTCTGGCCTCGAGCGTCGACGGCTACTAGGAGGAGGAGGAGGAGGAGGAGGAGGAGGAGGAGGAGGAAGGAGGAGGATCGTGAACGACCAACGTATACCTATCCGTGCCCTCGCCGTCTGGATACAAGGCGAGATCACGTGGATACGCAATCTCATGAGTGGGCTCCGCGCGGGGCATCCACGCAAAGCCATCCTGCATCCCTGGGGTCGCGGCCGAGGAGTCCAGACCGTGAGGCCGTGGAGACGACGAAAAACGAGGATACGCAGCGGACCACGAAATCAGCAGGGAAGCTGCGCCAGCGCGACAGGGGAATCGGGGGAGAGCTGGCGGCGAGCGTGCGCTTCACGTGCGCCGACCTGTCGTCCTCGATCGGCTCTCGACAGTCCCCAGGCCTGGACAGCCTTCAGAGTTCGCGCTGAAAGGCCGGCAATCACGACTTGCATCTTGCGAACTCTGGATCTGAGGGTCCTCCCCCTCCTCCCACCCCCTCCTCCTCAGAGGGTCAACGATAGGGGGGCCTGGCTCAGGGGGGAAAACAGAGTGGCTTGGAATCGGCGATACATCGCCGATAGCTCAGCGATAGGCCCCCGATAGTGAATCCGCACGGCCCTGGGCGGGGTGGGCTACTGGACCCCAATCGGCGATCACTGGGCGACTGGGGGTGGATGCGTGCCCACCTGGGCCTGTCCCCCCCGGCTCCCCTGACCTCTTCGACGCATGGTGGCCTTCGGGTCATCACCCGGGCCTCCAGCGGCTGCACGGCACGATCCGGCCACCCCTGGAACGCTCTCGGCGAGGCGCAGCCCCTGGAATGAACTCCGAGGTTGCAGAACCGCCGAGAACCATCCAAGCCATCCGAGAACGTCCGAAAAGGGGCCGCCGGAAACCTCCTCCTCCTCCTCCTCCTCCTCCTCCTCCTCCTCCTCCTCCTCCTCCTCCTCCTCCTCCTCCTCCTCCTCCTCCTCCTCCTCCTCCTCGCCGCCTTGGTGTGGTCGGAGCCGAACAGCGCATGGAAGCCCTGCAGCGCCGCCGCGAGGGCGGCCTGCTCCCCCGGCGCCAGGGCGGCGCCGTGCCCCGCCGCGGCCAGCCTGAGCAGCTCGGCCCTGCGCGCGTCCGGGCCAAGGGCCTGGACGGGGGAGGAAGAGGGCTGTGCACACATCGATGGCCCTCAGACCGCGTGCTGGCGCCAGCGTGTGCTTGTCCACCGGGGGGAGGGGGGTCCGCGCCTGGGTGCCCTCCGCCTCCCCCTGTCCTTCGCGGCCGCCCTGTCTGTCCAGTCCCCCCTCTCCTGCATGCCGGCCAATTCGCGCTTCGGTCGCCCCGATCGCTCATCGCTGCAGCAGCTCTTCTGCCTCGCCGCCGACGAAAGAAGCGTGTCCACCGAAGTCCTTCGATGCGACGCAGGCAGCGTAATGAGGGCCGACACGCGCTGTGTGTTACAGGTGGAGCTGAGCGGGGGTGAACACACATTGGGACAACACACGTCCCGAGGATCATCGAGCACACTCTTTGGCGTCTCAGCAACGCGGCGGAGTCAGGTCACCCAGGGCTGTGCGCACACACCCACTTCTGGCGGGGTGATTTATCAGTCCCGGCGATTTGCACATCGCCTGGGGATCCTTTTCGGGCCCTTCGCCATCGAGGTGGATCCAGGGCGGAAAGCTACTCCTGGGGAAGGGGTCGAGACCTCTGGGGTCCGCGGGCTCAAAAATCAATCCATCAGATGTCTGTCTGAAACCCGAGCCTGGACAGGCCTACCCTTGGCCCAACAGCCCGAGGATCGGCGCAGGCGCCCTCCAGGCTGGACCGTGGACGCACATCCGCCCGTCCTGGGCCCCGGATGAGCCTGGCGTGAGCGTGTGGGCATGGTAGTGAAAGCTTCGGGCTGCGCACAGACAGCCACCCCAGGCAGTCCCTGCTGACCTCGATAGGCCACCCGAAAAATCCGAGGCGGTCTCAGCAGCCTGGCGCCGCCTACGGCGGCACCCTTGGGGCGCTCCGCGCCCCAGGGCCGAGGCGTTGGGACCGCCCTGGGCCACTCGGGGAGCCTCTTGATACCAGCCAGGACTGCCCGGGGGGGGGGGAGGCCGTCTCTGAACAACCCCCGAGCCTTAGCCTCACCGCGTGGGTGCTCACTCGCCGAGCGCGTTCCACTACTCGCAAAGTGCCTGCTCGCAGGCGTCTGAAAAACACACACGTCTGTTTTGATGGAATTTTACTGTAGATCCCCCGCGGGGGACCCAGGCCAGTTGCGAGCAGTCACTCTGCGAGTGGTGGAACGCGCTCGTCGACTCCTGGTTCTCGTCACCCGAGGCCTGGAGCGCGGCGATGTCTGGGTGCCGGCCGTCGTGCTGGGGCAGGCAGCACCAGTCCTGAGAGGCCCCGCCAGGAGAGGGAGGCTCCGAAGGGTTTTCCGCCGTTCTCGGCGCCCGGGCCGTCGGAGAGCGAGCCGGGGTGAGAAACTGGCCGTGATACGACAGGACCTGGAGGCCTGGAAACTGGCACCAGCACCAACACAGGGGGCTGCCTCCACAGGGGGAAGGCGATCCTGGATTTCGGCGCGTGGGTGGTGCTACTTCGGCCACCCTGGAAGCCAGCAATAGTGCCACCATCACCGAGATCGGGATCGTCTTCCCTCGGTGGAGGCACACCGCCGATCTTGGCGTTGGTGTCAATCTCTGGGCCTGCGACAGACGATCGGGACGCCCGACATGGGTACGGAAAGAATGGGTACAATGCCCAACAGCAGTTCTTGTTCATTTTGGACAGGACTCGCTGTCCACGCCGCCGCGGCCTGTGTCAATTCGAGACAGGAGGCCGCCTGCCCAACAGCGGCCGCTGTTGGTTTGGGACAACATTTGCCGTTGGGCATTGTGCCCATTCTTTCCGTGCCCATCTCGGGCGTCGAAAGACGAGGCCGGGAGGGTCGAAGGTCGAGGGCCGAAGGCCGGCGTGCGCCGGAGCGCGCCCTGCTCGGGCCGCCGGGCGAGGTTCTGCAAAGCTGGCGACGTGTGACATGATAAACCAGGGTTTGCAGTGGTCCGGGGGGGGGGCGTTGTGAACCCCAGTCAATATTCCAGAACATGTAAACCCAGGTTCATAATGTTCAGAGGAGGGCAGGGTGAGACAAGGGTGACGTTTTTGCCTTTTTCGCCTCCGAGGGGCCTCCTCGTCGCCACGGCTGGACGCAGCGTGAAAAATCGGTGCGTTTGGACCCCGGGAGGGGTCCGGGGACCGATTTTGAGCCGAGTTGGCCACCATTGTCTCACGGCCGTTGTCTCACGTTGCCCTCCTCCGAAATCTTCCGGGCGAGACATTATGGACCCTGGTCAATAATCCCAGAACATTTATAAACGCAGGTGAATATCTTTTTGAGGCCCATACTGCTTACAGGAGTCAGAGTCAGAATCAGAAGGCGGGGTGTCACCGCAGAGAGCGCGCACTGAAATGCACGCTACGCCAAGAGAAAGCATCGCCGAAGAAGCTCCTTGCAGAAACAAGTCGCTAACTGGAGCGGTCCACGTCGGACCGAAGGGGAGGGGAGGAAGGGAGTGGGGTAAACCACGGCGTGCGAGTCAGGCAGCATGTGCTTCAGGAATTCTGAAATGCTGACGCCATCTGTCCATCGCCATTCTGAGAAGACGAGGCAGGGACCAGGACAAAATCGAACCAGGGACACGTGAATCGGGGATCTCTGAGATCCGGCGGGGTCTGAAGGACGCATCGGGCGCCGCGGCCGTGAAAAAAGACCTTCCAGAACGCTCTGGGAGCGTGCCAGAGCACTCTGGATGGTCGGTGGCGGGCGAGGGGGGAGAATTAGAAGGGGCGGTTCTCAGAAGGCTCGGGAGTCCCCCGGGCCTTCAGAGAAGTTCTCTGAGCCTTCCCCCAAGACGCCGAAAACCCCTCCGAAGGCCGCAGGCCTTCTCAGAAGCCCCGCCACCTTCTGAGGCCTTCTCCTTCTCGCTTCCCCCCCTCGCTCGCCGCCGAGATAGACCCCGGGACCCGGGACCCGTTGGAGGAGATCTGGCAGCTCAGGGCGGGGGGATCGACGGAGATCTGGGCTGAGCACACCCCGGGAGGGCCAGGGGGCCCTCGTTCGTCGCCAGCGCACGGGAGGAGCACTGCAGCCAACCCATATAGCAAGGATGCGCGACAAGGACGCAAGGGCCTTGGAAACCCATTTCGAAGCTCTGTGAGCGGGGCGCGGCCAACGAAAGTGGCCAGAGATGGACCGAGGAAGCAAGGATGCAAGGGTACCCTTGGGAAGGTTGCCCATCCTTACTATGCGGGTTGACTGTACAGTCGGGCCGCTGAACTAAGGAACGCTGGATAAGGAACGAAGCCCCTTCTAGGCCCCAGAACCGCCTTCGTTCACGACGAGGGCTGGAGGAACAGCCATGGAAGGGCCTAAGGACCGTCGAGGCCCTTCCGAACCCGAACTGTTCTTTGTTTCAGCATCTTCACTGTAGAGGCCTCCCAGATGGGGTCGGAGTAGCTGTTGGGCAGGGACCGACCCTCCCGACATTCTTAGCCGCCTACCAAGAAATGCTCTCAAAACAATAATGTTTTGACAACAGCAATTACCCCAGTGCGACCCTACCTAGAAGTTGGAGCCCCTAGGAAAGCAGCATTAGTTGCTATGCTATGCTATGCTATGCTATGGCATGCTATGCTGCGCTATGCTATGCTATGATATGCTATTATATGCTATGGTATGATGCGCTGTGTTATGATATGCTATGCTATGCTATGCTATGCTATGCTATGCTATGTCATGCTGCGCTGTGCTATGCTAAGCTGCGCTATGCTGCGCTGTGTTATGGTATGCTATGCTATGCTATGCTGCGCTGTGCTATGCTGTGCTGTGCTGCGCTATGCTATGCTATGCTATGCTATGCTATGCTATGCTATGCTATGCTATGCTATGCTGCGCTATGCTATGCTATGCTGGGCTATGCTGTGATATGCTGTGCTGCGCTATGCTATGCTGCCCTATGCTATGCTGTGCTCTGCTATGCTAAAGCTCAGCGAAGCTAAGATGAAGGTAAGCTAAGCTAAGATAAACCTGAGCTAAGATGAAGCTAAGCTGAGCTAAGATGAAAAATGGTTACGGATGGCACTGCTTGCGGGGGTTCCGGTCCGGCCATCGAGGCTAGCTCGGCATCTGTCGCACATTGCTTTTCCTTTGCTTTTCCTTTGCTTTGCTTTTGCTTTGCTTTGCTTTGCGTTGCTTGTGTTTTGCTTTGCTGTCGCTGCTGTTGCTTTGCCTTTGCTTTGCTGCTGTGCTATGCTATGCTCTGCGATGCTATGCTATGCTATGCTGCGCGGTGCTATGCTGTGCTGTGCTGTGCTGCGCTATGCTATGCTATGCTATGCTGCGCCATGCTATGCCATGCTGGGCTTTGCTATGATATGCTCTGCTGCGCTATACTTACTGTGCTACGCTCTGCTATGCTATGCTGTGCTCTGCTATGCTAAAGCTCGGCGAAGCTAAGATGAAGGTAAGCTAAGCAAAGATAAACCTGAGCTAAGATGAAACTAAGCTAAGCTACAATGAAATAAGCTAAGCTAAGATGAGATAAGCAACGCTAAGCTAAGGGGACGCAACTGGGGGAACCGCGGGGCGGATGCTGGGGGAACCGCCCGGGGCGAGGACCACTGCCCGGCCCCTTTAAGCATACACAGTAAGAACCCTTCTAGGCAGAGCCTAGGTAGGGATTAACAACAACAGCAGCAACAACAGCAACAACAACAGTAACAACAACCACAACCACAACCACAACCACAACAACAACAACCACCACAACCACAACAACAACAACCACAACAACAACAATAAGTTCAAGACTGCTCGCCCTTATATGCTCGAGGGTCCAATAACGCGAATTTCCCAAACCCTCGATACCCGCCCTCTTCGTCTTCGATCGAACCCCTTTTGGGGGGCCGGGCCCCGGCAAGCGGCGGGGCGGCCGCGGACCGTCGGTCTGGCCAGCGGCAGCGCTGATCGGCGGGGCGGCCGCGGACCGTCGACCCGACCCCAAGAGGGACGGACAGGGGCCCGACCACGACGACGACGACGACGACGACGACGACGACGACGACGACGACGACGTCGAAGACGACGGCGACGACGACGGCGGCGACGAGCGAAAGCGAGAGCGAGAAAGAACGACAGCAGGGCCACGAAGGGCACGAAGTAGGCCACGAAGGGCGACAGCGGGGACACGAAGGGAATGCGAATGGGGCCACGTAGAGCGCGAACGAGCGGGGGCCACGAAGTGCAGATAATGCGGGACCACAGAAGGCAACTATGGGGCCACTGAGGGTAGCAACTGGGCCACGTAGGACAGTGAGGGGGACACAAATGGCGACAGCGGAGCCACGAAGGGCATGCACATGGGGCCACAACGGGCGCGACTCCTGGGTGCCTGGGAGTCGGGAGGGCGGCGCTTGGGCAAATTGCAAGAAATTCCAACGCAAGGCCATTCTTCCATAAGTTGCAAGCAAGTCTCCAGCGAGAGCGCGACTCCAGAGCGCCGGGAGCGATTCCTGAATAAATTGTAAGGAAGTCCCAAGCGAGAGCGCGATTCCTGAATAAAATGCGAGGAGTTCTCGGGCGGGAGCGGGGGTCCTGGCTAAATTGTAAGGAAGTCTCAGGCGGGAGCCGTTGTTGTTGTTGTAACCCGGGGGCCAGGGGCCCAGTTTGAGCATGAAGACTTCCCCTGACAAAAAACAGGGTGCGAGCGTCGAGGGGCAAACTTTGATTGAGAAAAAACAATATGCATCGGTGGGGGGGGACCAACAAAAATTATTCTTCAGAAATGAGAGTTCAACAAACACAATAACAGCAACAGCAACAGCAACAGCAACAGCAACAGCAACAGCAACCGTGTTCCTAGAACACAGACGTATAAAGAACACAAGACAGCCTCAGCCAGAATCATTCTAAGAGCAATTCGCACAAAGCACAAAAGTTGTTAGACAATTATTTGGCGGGCCTATAGGCGAGCCCGGACGCTTCGCCACTGCTTGACGATGGGGACGGAGGATCGCGCCACATCGCCGACACATCGGCGATGCATCGGCGACGCATCGTACCCGTGCCGACGCCCTTCCCTCGTGCTCCTCTCTGCGGGCTTCCTGGGGGGGCCATGGTGTCTTGAGAGCTTGAGCACACGAGCTACCGGGGAGCACAGGCTCGACCCCTGCCCACATCCGGACACCAGAGGCTTCCTGGGGGGGCCCTCGTCCCGATCTGGCGGGGTTCGCCACGGAGCCCTGGCCAGGAGGCACTGCGTCGGAGATCCAGAAGGGGAGGGGGCTGCCTCGGCATTCTAACTGTTGAGACGAAGCCAGGACGAGAACATTCTGGAAGGCCCTGGAACTGACTTATCCTCGTCCTAACCCCGCCCGATATGTTGGAGGCCTCCTAGGTGGGGTCGGAGTAGATGGGGTCGGAGGATCGCGCCGCATCGCCGATGCATCGCCGATGCACTGGCGACGTCGGCGAAGCATCGGCGACGTCGACGTGAATCAAATCGGGCTCCACATCGAGTCGCATCGGCGATGCATCACCGATGCATCGGCGATGCGGCGCGATCCTCCGACCCCATCTACTCCGACCCCATCTGGGAGTCAAAGATCTGTTCCCTCTCGAGTCCAGGAAGACCGGGTGGTCGTCCGGCACGCGGACGGGGCCGTCGGCGTCGACCCAGCCCTCGGCGCCGTCCAGGAAGCCGCAGATCCGCTCCAGCTGCACGCCCTCTGGGTCTGGGTGCACCGCAGACAGCCAGGGGTGCGAGACCTCTCGGGAGCGCACACACACACACACACACACACTTTTTGAGGTACGCGCCCTTGCGTAGGCTACGGCTTCACAGAAAGGTCATGCTAAGGCAGTTGCCAAAGTCAGTACTGCAGGATGGCATGTTCTACGCAACTGGTCGCCATGTCCAGCCCAAGGATTTCCATGTCAAAAGCAGAAGTGGCTGACGGTACATATTTTAACGAAGAGCCCACAAACATAGAGAGCGCAAAATCAACCCTCGCAATAAGCACCCTGACAAGCGAAGGCATTTAGTAAACGCACCCAAGGAAGGAATCGAACAGGGGCAGGGCTGCTCAGAAGACTCCCAGGGCAGTCTAGCAAACGCCAATTATCGGGCTCGGGGTGGTTTCTCCTTCCTTGAAAACGCGCCCAGCAACGTACATGAATGCGACCCCCCCTTCCGCGAGGCCAGCCTCATCTTACGAGCATTCGGGCAAGGCGTACTCTCGGCAATCACGAAAGGTCATGTGCGCGTGCCCCGACCTCCGATGTCTTGATGTCGTCACTGCGGCGTCCCCGCAGCTCTGGACCACTTCCAGGGACCCGTGTTTCGTCCCGACCATTCTGCACACGGCCCCCAGGGCCTGTCGAGGGCCCCCAGACTGCAAAAAAGACGCACAAACCCCCGTGCGGACGTGTCCCATACTGAAGGGGCCCAAGGACACACAAATAAATACACACTAATAAAATAGTCCCCCATATTTTCCCACATTTTCTGGGTTTCTGTCTTCCCCCCCACTTCCCATATTTTCCTATATTTTCTGGGAAATCGAGGATTAATTGTGTTTCTTTTCCTCCTGACATACGCTGGACCCTGAGGTCCGACGCTGCGCAAAAATGGAAGCGCCGCAAAAAAAAAGTCACGACGCGAGCCCCGGACCCCGTCTCTGTGCGTCATTCTTCGGGCCTGGTCGACCCGAGAGGGTCCCTGGGCCCGAATTTGGGTGCAAGCGCCCGCGGCGGGAAAAAGTGCAACGCGAGGATCCGGAGGGAGGTCGGGGCACGGGCGCTTCTGTCCTGACCACCTTCCAGACCGCCCCGACCTAACTCGAAGATCCCCATTGCGGGTTGGGGGGGGCTCCTCCTCCTCCTCCTCCTCCTCCTCCTCCTCCTCCTCCTCCTCCTCCTCCTCCTCCTCCTCCTCCTCCTCCTCCTCCTACTGGTTCCACGTGTGCTTTTTCATTATTCTCCGACCCCCACCCCCACACTGGAAATGGAGGGCACATGGAGGCCTTCGGGTTGGGTTGGGGCGGTTTGGTGGGTGGTGATGTTCCGCCCCTGGAGACCACCAGCGGCTGGCGCTCCAGCTGCAGGCACCGCCACAGCTCCTCGTGCGTCACCAGCGCGCCCGCCGCGGGCAGGTCCTGCAGCCGCGGCAGCCCTGGCCAGCCCGCCGCGCCGGCAGCCGCCCGCGCCCGCAGCTGCCCGCGCAGCCAGCCCGCGCGCACAAAGCGGACGCCGGCCCCCCTCGCGTACCCGAGTAGCGCGCCCGCCCACGCAGGGTCCTGAGAGGCTTTCGAAAGATTTTGCCGCGCGAGTTTCACGAAAGCCTCGGGGCACCTTGCCCGCAGACTCGTGGAGGTGTGAACGCTCCCGAGCATGCAGTGCGCGTACGCAGACTTTTTCGTCTCTGGGGTTCCGTCCGCCAGGAGGGCGTGGCGCAAGCCGCAGTTGGGAGTCTCAAGTTCGTGAGAAGGAGAAGGCCTTCTCGGACGGCGAGGGGGCTTCTCAGAAGCCATCCGGCCTTCTGAGGATTTGTGTTGTCTCTTCGGGGAAGGCTTAGATAACTTCTCCGAAGGCCGGAGGACTTCGAGGAGTTTGTTGTCTCTTCGGGGAAGGCTCAGAAACCTTCTATCAAGGCCGGAGACTTCCGAGCCTTCTGAGAAGGCCCGCCCCCTCTCACTCCCTTATGTTGCATGCTCGGGGGGCCTTGTCTGTCCCGTCGCGGTCTTACCCGCGTTGAATCTAAGTCGAATCCATGTCGGACTCGTCGAATCCGTGTCGAATCCGCGTCGAATCCACGCCAAATCCGCGTCGAGTCCGCATCGAGCCCGCGCCAGGCACAAGAAAAGACACCAATTTGGGGGACAGGCGAGGCACTCCGAAGATGCAACGTAAACTCCCCCCCCGGGGCTGGCCGCCGAGAGAGGAGGAACGTCATGGGGGGGGGGGGGGCAGGCTCAGGGAGGGGAGACCTCGACCTGGCATCCCCGGCTCAGGGGCGGAGTGGGCGAGCGGGCCCCCCTCGGCGAGGCAGGGGCGATCGGGGGGAGTGGGCTGAGGAGGAGCGAGGAGGAGGAGGAGGCACGAGGAGGATGAGAAACGAGGAGGAAGAGGAGGGGGAGGAGAAGAAACGAGGAGGAAGAGGAGGAGGGGGAGGAGGAAGAGGAGGAGGAGGAGGAGGAGGACGGAGGAGCGATTGTGGATTGGCGAGGAATGGCCCCCCCCCCCGGAGCCCCCCGCCCCGAGGTCCTCGGCCGCCCCGGGCGCGCCCAGGCCAGGCCCCGGCGCGGCGCCCGGCGCGGGCGCGGCGCCGCACGCGGCGGCCCAGGGCCGGAAGGCGGCGCCGGGCGGCGCGAAGCGCCAGGAATCCCGCGACAGCAGAAGGCGGAAGCCGCCGGGCCCGCTCGCGGCGGGGAACACGGCGGCGCCCCCGGCGTCCAGGCGCGCGGCCTCTCGGGAGACCGACAGGCACCGCTACCGCTGCGCCCCGGACCTCTCCCGCGGTGCGCTCTGACCGGGATCTCGAGGCGAAGCCAGCGGTGGCGGCGAGGGCCTCCCAGAAGGCCCAGAAAGGGGAAAACGGGCGGAGGGTAGAGGTATGGGTACCTCTTCCTCCTCCGAGCCTCGCAGTGCAGCCACTCCCCATTCAGGGAGAGGCTCACTGCGCCGCCGTCGATGTCCACCGCCAT